GTATGTGTGTGTGTGTGTATGTATGTAGTGTGTGTGTGTGTATGTATGTATGTGTGTGTGTGTGTGTGTATGTGTATGTGTGTGTGTATGTATGTGTGTGTGTGTGTATGTATGTATGTGTGTGTGTGTGCGTGTGTGTGTGTGTCTCACCACTGGGACTCCTCCAGGGGTTGGAGATCTTCCGGAGCTTCAGAGGAGCTCCTGCAAACTGAGCGTAGGCCTGCAGACACACAGGAGACAGAAGTCAGAAAGAGAATCTGAGATGAAAGCCTCTTTAGAGCTGAGCTTAATGAAGGATGTCCTCCTCAGATATTCACTGTTCATCATACACAGTGCTGCGCCGCCCCCTGGTGGTCACATCACATCGTTACACTGTTAACAACACACAGAGACTCATCTTAAAGGTCCCATGCTTCTCTGGTTCTGACCCGTCCCCTTGTGTTCTGAAGCTTCTGCATGTGACCGCTCTGCAGAGCCACTAACCCTCAGAGTGCACCCTGTAGAGAGTAAAGCTCTAACAGAGAGAAGACCTGTCTCTGCTGCCCCTGAACGCCTCGTTGCAGCCCCCTCAACACCCCCCCCCCCCCTTCCCGCGTCCATTCACGGTGTCTCGCAGAACCCACGCAGCAAGCAGGAAATGAACCCACCTCACCCTGTCCTCTCCTCACAGCAGCGAGCCCCCCAACGTCCCCCCAACACGGCCCCCAGACCCCACGCAGCATTCTCATCTGTTTGTCATTACTGGTGTCATTTCCTGGTTGCTAACAAACGCCATTGTAAAACATAATCACTGATGTTCCGCTGTAACGGTGGTGGACTCATCAGAACAGAGTGGACGAGCTGACCAATCAGAGCACAGTGGGCTCACAGGGGGGGGGGGGGGCAGGAGCTCCAACAAGCCGTGTAGGACAGAGAGTGAATACACATACTATACAGAGATGCTGTATGAGGAACCAATGTGAGTTTGGAACATTGAACAATGTACATCTAGTCTAGTAGACCTCAGTGTTTCCCCTATATACAAATAGTGGCGGCGCAGCTAGGGGGCGCCAGCCAGGTACCCACAAAAAAAAAAGAAGAAAGAAAAGATTATTTTTTACTTATTTTTTTTTATTAAAATAATAATAAGTGGCGGCCCTTTTTCATTTGTGATTGTTTGTTATGTGGATTTGTAATATTTGTGTTACTGTATGTTCAATAAAGGTGTATTTTTGCTAATGGCAGGGCCGATTTTTGGCGTAGGCGGTCGCCTAGGGCTGGGGGGCGCTGCGCTGGCAGCTCTGGGAGGGGAACAAACATTTTTGACCGTTGGCGCTCATCCTAATTTTCGGCCTTGATGTAACAACATTCATAATTAAGTAAATGTAACACCCTTTTCACCCCGGTTACACTTTTCATTTGCCCTGTACGACGGGCGCTGTAAGTGATGAAAGTGGGGGGTGTTGGCTTATCAGGCGCCCGCAGCTCACAGCCAAAGAGCGAGCGAGGGAGTGAGAGAGAGAGCAAGGGAGAGAGAGAGGGAGAGAGAGACAGAGACAGAGACAGAGACAGAGAGAGAGAGAGAGAGAGAGAGAGAGAGAGAGAGGGAGAGACAGAGAGAGCACCGGTACCGGCGCTGTTGTTATTAGCACCTGGTGCTAGCTGCGCTAACGGATATAAGAAGTAGATGTTTCTACAGCCAGGGTGGAGGAGAGCTCTCCAGTCAGACTGAGAGGCTCAGTGAGGTGAAGGACTCTCTGAGGGTTAGGTTCACTTTAGTCTCAGTTATCTCAGTGGCTCTCAAACGGTTTGACCACAAATTATGTAAACACATATTTCCAAGGCACTCCTTTATAATTATTAGGATCAATAAAAACAGGTTTGAAATCATTCCAGTGTATCCTATAGGACAGCAAACCAGACATATCCTTTAAAGTTGGAGAGATACAAACATATGCATAAATAAATAAATGTTAAGGTAAAATAAGATATGAATGATAAGTTCCATGTATTAGTTATTGGCTATGGGTTATTGGTTATGTTCACAAACTTATTGATTATTAAAATGCAAACCAATCTTTTTCAGATCCCCCTAGACCAGAGGCCTGTACTACGAAGCCAGAGGCCTGTACTACGAAGCCAGAGGCCTGTACTACGAAGCCTGAGGCCTGTACTACGAAGCCAGAGGCCTGTACTACGAAGCCAGAGGCCTGTACTACGAAGCCTGAGGCCTGTACTACGAAGCCTGAGGCCTGTACTACGAAGCCAGAGGCCTGTACTACGAAGCCAGAGGCCTGTACTACGAAGCCAGAGGCCTGTACTACGAAGCCAGAGGCCTGTACTACGAAGCCTGAGGCCTGTACTACGAAGCCTGAGGCCTGTACTACGAAGCCTGAGGCCTGTACTACGAAGCCAGAGGCCTGTACTACGAAGCCAGAGGCCTGAGGCCTGTACTACGAAGCCAGAGGCCTGTACTACGAAGCCGGTTCAACCTAACCTGGATATGTTTGAGTTAGCCGGTTGGCCCAATCCAAAACATACGCGCTCTCGCTAAGCGGTCCTACGACGCTGGTTATCAAGTGGATCGCTCAAGCCAGCCGTGTCCTACCTAGTTAGGTGCGCGTTCACATGAAAGGGGTGGTATCTGGAGCATTCGACCAATCACAAACATGGACAAGCGTACTGACAGCGCAGCGTCATACTTCCTGAATGAAAAGTGAACTTTAATATTAGTCAAATATGAAGAAGTTAAACTTTAAACATCCATGACTTAAACACTTTATCCAGGATCAAAGCCACATAGCTGCACCTGCAAGGTGAATACAGCTGGTAACAGAGAAAGCGTTTGAATGCGTACATTAACAGGTTTATAATATCACTGCCCCGTCTAAGACACGATCTGACTTTCATTACATTTGACTCCAGGGTTTCGTCAACTTAATGTGTTGCTTAAAATAATACTTCTGCATCCAGTATGTGACACTGTGAGTGTTGCACGGCCAGATACGGCTCAGCTGACTCAGATAAGGAGATATATGATACATTATGATGTGATATGATATGAATGATAATGGGACACATCTACGTCTGCACTCACAGTGCCGCGGACTGTACTTAATGTTACTCTGATCCGGTTACTTATGTTGTGGCAGATATTTAAGTAAGCTTTCTTAACGCTAATGTTATAAGTGTGTGTGTGTGTGTGTGTGTGTGTGTGTGTGTGTGTGTCGCCAGCAGTGGTCGCTGTACCTGAAGCTTAGAATAATGGAACCCATTCCCCAAACACAGGCTCCGGAGCTCCATTAAAGCTCCGTCCCTCATCACCCTTTCTCCCCCGTTTCTCCCCCCTCTCTCTCTCTCTCTCCCTCCCTCCGCCCCCCCCCCTCCCCCCCTCTCTCTCCCTCCGCCACCCCCTCTCACCAGCACGGTGAGGCAGTCGCTGCTCACGGACGGCAGACCCCAGGCTCCTTCCCAGCAGAACAGCTCGTCGGGCGCCGCCATGTTTCCGCGGGAGAATGACCTTCACTCCGGAAGAGAAGCGACTCTTCTTCTGCCCGGAAAACAGGTGCTTTCCCGCCCCCTGCTGGACTGGAGGGAGGCAGGAGAACAACACAAACAAACAACACGAAACAACACTAACAAACTAACAAACAAACAACACGAAACAACACAAACAAACAACACAAAAGTACTCTCTATCATTACAAAATACTCTGCTATATAACCTGCAATATTAATAATAATGTTTTAGAATATTTGCACACTTCTGTATATTTAACATGCTCGTATATATACTACTGCAATAAATACTACATCTAATACTACTTTCTATCTATCTATCTATCTATCTATCTATCTATCTATCTATCTATCTATCTATCTATACTAGTATCAGCGCTACCACCTCCTACATTAATACTAACTACATTGCTTCAGTGTAGATCTGTCAATGAGAAACTGAAGTCCTCCTCCAACAGAGCAACATGAATATATATCATATAACTAATAAAACAGATAAAATAGTGCAAGAGAATGTTTTGAGATGTGCAAGTTAATACAAATAAAATAGAAGTAGTGCAAGGAGAGTCTGTATACAAGTAAGTGGAATATGATATATAGATAAATGATTATCAAGATGCAAACAGATGAATGTTATGGACGTTCTTCACAGAGTTCAGGTGGTTAACAGTCTGATTGTGGAATGGAACTGTCTCTGAGTCTGGGGGTTTTATTCCTCATGCTTTTCAAGATTCAATCAACATATATAAGACACAAAACTATATAACAGTGCCAGATTTAGCAGATGAAGTAACCTCAAACTAAATGCAGTGAGAGTGGAGGATGTCAGTGTTAATGTGAACTTCCGCTTTTCTAATAGTCGTTGGTCAAGCTGTCGGTTTATTTCTGTCTTCTTTCAAAACTCAGTGACTCAACTTCTCCAAAAGTGTTCACGCTCCACATCAGCATTAAGGCTGCACTCAAAGGGCCGGTTGTGACTTTAAGACTATATAAAAATACATATATAAATATATAATATATATAATATAATGTATTATATAACATTATTGCCTCTGAATTGGATTATTATGGGATAGGGTAATAACTTCATAATTAAAGGTGGGGTAGGTACGTTTGAGAAACCGGCTGGAGATACACTTGTTGTTATATTCCATGGAATGCTCTTAACATCCAGATAGCAATGAATATCTGAAGTGCTTTGACAAAAAATCCATAAATAAATATCATCTGTGGAAGCTGTAGTACTGTAAAAAGCACGACCAATCATCTGAGCCGGCCCGGCTAAAATAACTGGATGGCCTACCTGCCTGTCAGCCTTCCATCTGTGCACAAACTTATCTCGTGCCCTCATTGGTCATGTGCGCGTTCGTGTGTGTTGGAGGAGGGGCTCTGTGAGGAAGTGGCAGATTTGTTCCGGCTGTGTATTTTCAAATTCTAGCGATCTCAAGCTGGTTTCTCCAAAATTACCTACCCCACCTTTAACTTTGTCTGAAAGCAGAAGTCTGGGGAGAATAATTGCAAGACTCTTCAGTGCGCATTTCACTAATTGATTGAAAAATAAAAGCCAAATTCTGGAAAAAAGTGTAAATTTAAAAAAGAAGTAACATTTTGAAAAAAGTCAAATTTGAAAAGAAAGTCAAATTCTGAGAAAAAATGTCAAATTTGAGATGCATTGTGGGACATGTAGTTTATGGGCAAAGTGCTTCTGTAAAGCGGCATGTAACCGTGTAATAAACATATTATATTCTTTGTGAGCTCTTGAGGGGCCACAGGAAGTGAAGTCACGGGCCGGATTTGGCCCCCGGGCCTTGAGTTTGACCCCCCTGAGCCACTGTTTCAGATTCACTTCATTTGTCTCTCTCCAGGGAAAGGATTGGATTTCATCTTTCATTTCTTTACTAAAGAATACGTATAAATAACAAATATTCATATAAACATCAAAAAGTTCTATATAAATACATATATTAGAATAAGTATATTATAATATATACACTACAGTTGAACTAGCACAGTTAAGTTATTGTTATTATTGTGTTATTATTTTCTTTAAATGACTCTTGTATTATCTTTTGGGTTCCTGTTTGTCATCATTGGAAATTAAAACAGAAAATCTCAAATATATTATTTAAAATGTTACAAATCTTTATTTACATAAAACAACACACACATTAAAACACATTAAAAGCATATTACATGTAGAAGTAAACACTGAGAGGTAGACAAATGCAAAAGCAGGTCAATACATTCATAATACCTAAAAACAAAAGACAGAATAATAACTTTAAACTTTCTTTTTACACAATTCTGTAAAATTACATTACATCACTTGTTATCCAAAGCGACTTACATACTCAGTACTGTGGACAATCCACAGGAGCAGTTTGGGGTGAAGTGTCTCAGGGACACAACGACACCCTAACCCTGATTCGAAGTCAAGCAAATCCACTGAGCCACAGCCTCCCTGTGATTATAGAGTGGCGAAGTATATGACTTCGCCACTCTATTACTGTGTGAATGTATGAACTATGCATGTAATAAACTACAAGTCCCAGAGAGCATTGCTGTAGGAATCGTCCAATCAGAGAGCTCTTCGTTGTTTGCATAGAACAATATTTTTAAAACAGTTATTCATATAGAGAGGCGAAGTCACGCCCATCTACTTCCGCCCCATGGGACCTTATTTCGGAAAAATAATGCATTGAAGTCAATGGGGAGAGAAAACTTATCTTTCGATCCCGTTTGAATTGTGCCATGAATTACACATATGATGTTTGTCAATCTTAAAAAATAATTTCCATGTCAAAAAAGTCACAGTTTGTCGTAAAACTGTTGAAATATAAGACTATGAAAAATACGTAACTAGAAAGACTACAAATCCCAGAGTCGCGTAAGTGATGTCACAATTGTTTTCCTCCACTAAGATAAGATAACTTTAACAAGATGCCTGTGTGCTTAGTACCAGGTTGTTATCATACCAGCAATGGGTCTTGCTCGTTCTTTCGCTTCCCGTCTGATGAAAGGACCAGGAGTGTCTGGATCAAGCTAGCTAGTAGCTAGCACGTTAGTTAGCATTACAGCCGTGTCATTTTTATTAGCCTTAACATGAAGTAACATTAAGTAACCCAACATGTTAAACAGTAAGAGTAGTAGTCATATTTCGTGAACCCTTTGAATAGTACTGTCACCGGTGTGATCATTCTATAATACACAATTTAAGCCCGGGAGAGAAATGCTAACGCTAACGCTAGCGATCTTCTCTACTTCATGCTATCTGCACAAATGGTTGACATTAAACATTAAAACGACCGGGCAGTTCAGAGAGAATCAAAGGAAGGCAGGCAGGCAGCTTTGCATGACTTTCTTCAGGACGTGTTTCATTGTGGTGTTAGTGAAGGTAGCCAATCGGTTTGTTGACAGTAGTGACGGCCATCTTGGTGACGTGTGTTGTAATGTTGACCAGAGATGTAGTTCATTGAGCGTTTCACACAAACAAATGTGTTACTTCACAGTTTTACGACACATTTCTTTTTTTTTTACTTGCAAAATTATCTTTTAAATTGACAAACATCATATGTGTAATTCATGGCACAATTCAAACGGGATCGAAAGATAATCTTTCTCTCTCCATTGACTTCAATGCATAACTTTTCCGAAATAAGGTCCCATGGAGGTCCACCGGAAGGGGAGGGACTTCGCCACTCTATATAATGATGTCTATTCACATATTATGCTGTTTATTCACATATAATGGACTCAGTGGATTCAGCGTTTGCCTGCCACTGAGCTGTAGATGGTGGCGTCCTCCTCCTCCGCTCTATAAATAATGAATAAACAGAGAGTCATTAGATATCTTTAGCTTAGCGGTGGTGACGTGAAGTCATGTGACCGTGCTGTAGTTCCTTTATAGCCCAACATTAGCCTCCTTTAGCTTAGCGGTGGTGACGTAAAGTCATGTGACCGTGCTGTAGTTCCTTTATAGCCCAACATTAGCCACCTTTAGCTTAGCGGTGGTGACTTGAAGTCATGTGACCGTCCTGTAGTTCCTTTATAGCCCAACATTAGCCTCTTTTAGCTTAGCGGTGGTGACGTGAAGTCATGTGACCGTGCTGTAGTTCCTCTATAGCCCAACATTAGCCACCTTTAGCTTAGCTGTGGTGACGTGAAGTCATGTGACCGTGCTGTAGTTCCTTTATAGCCCAACATTAGCCACCTTTAGCTTAGCGGTGGTGACGTGAAGTCATGTGACCGTGCTGTAGTTCCTTTATAGCCCAACATTAGCCACCTTTAGCTTAGCGGTGGTGACGTGAAGTCATGTGACCGTGCTGTAGTTCCTTTATAACCCAACATTAGCCGCCTTTAGCTTAGCGGTGGTGAAGTCATGTGACCGTGCTGTAGTTCCTTTATAGCCCAACATTAGCCACCTTTAGCTTAGCAGTGGTGAAGTCATGTGACCGTGCTGTAGTTCCTTTATAGCCCAACATTAGCCCCCTTTAGCTTAGCGGTGGTGACGTGAAGTCATGTGACCGTGCTGTAGTTCCTCTATAGCCCAACATTAGCCCCCTTTAGCTTAGCGGTGGTGACGTGAAGTCATGTGACCGTGCTGTAGTTCCTTTATAGCCCAACATTAGCCACCTTTAGCTTAGCGGTGGTGACGTGAAGTCATGTGACCGTGCTGTAGTTCCTTTATAGCCCAACATTAGCCACCTTTAGCTTAGCGGTGGTGACGGGAAGTCATGTGACCGTGCTGTAGTTCCTTTATAGCCCAACATTAGCCACCTTTAGCTTAGCCGTGGTGACGTGAAGTCATGTGACCGTGCTGTAGTTCCTCTATAGCCCAACATTAGCCCCCTTTAGCTTAGCGGTGGTGACGTGAAGTCATGTGACCGTGCTGTAGTTCCTTTATAGCCCAACATTAGCCACCTTTAGCTTAGCGGTGGTGACGGGAAGTCATGTGACCGTGCTGTAGTTCCTTTATAGCCCAACATTAGCCACCTTTAGCTTAGCGGTGGTGACGTGAAGTCATGTGACCGTGCTGTAGTTCCTTTATAGCCCAACATTAGCCACCTTTAGCTTAGCGGTGGTGACGGGAAGTCATGTGACCGTGCTGTAGTTCCTTTATAGCCCAACATTAGCCACCTTTAGCTTAGCGGTGGTGACGTGAAGTCATGTGACCGTGCTGTAGTTCCTTTATAGCCCAACATTAGCCTCCTTTAGCTTAGCGGTGGTGACGTGAAGTCATGTGACCGTGCTGTAGTTCCTTTATAGCCCAACATTAGCCTCCTTTAGCTTAGCGGTGGTGACGTGAAGTCATGTGACCGTGCTGTAGTTCCTTTATAGCCCAACATTAGCCTCCTTTAGCTTAGCGGTGGTGACGTGAAGTCATGTGACCGTGCTGTAGTTCCTTTATAGCCCAACATTAGCCTCCTTTAGCTTAGCGGTGGTGACGTGAAGTCATGTGACCGTGCTGTAGTTCCTTTATAGCCCAACATTAGCCTCCTTTAGCTTAGCGGTTGTGACGTGAAGTCATGTGACCGTGCTGTAGTTCCTTTATAGCCCAACATTAGCCTCCTTTAGCTTAGCGGTGGTGACGTGAAGTCATGTGACCGTGCTGTAGTTCCTTTATAGCCCAACATTAGCCTCCTTTAGCTTAGCGGTGGTGACGTGAAGTCATGTGACCGTGCTGTAGTTCCTTTATAGCCCAACATTAGCCTCCTTTAGCTTAGCGGTGGTGACGTGAAGTCATGTGACCGTGCTGTAGTTCCTTTATAGCCCAACATTAGCCTCCTTAGCTTAGCGGTGGTGACGTGAAGTCATGTGACCGTGCTGTAGTTCCTTTATAGCCCAACATTAGCCTCCTTTAGCTTAGCGGTGGTGACGTGAAGTCATGTGACCGTGCTGTAGTTCCTTTATAGCCCAACATTAGCCTCCTTTAGCTTAGTGGTGGTGACGTGAAGTCATGTGACCGTGCTGTAGTTCCTTTATAGCCCAACATTAGCCTCCTTTAGCTTAGCGGTGGTGACGTGAAGTCATGTGACCGTGCTGTAGTTCCTTTATAGCCCAACATTAGCCTCCTTTAACCATGGCCACAAATCAAAGGAAAGTAAGTTTGGCTTTGTTCTTTTTTAACTCATGGTTCGTTTGGTCTGATCTGCTAATGCAGCATCCAGCAGAACTACAGTTGCTATGGTTACATGCTGTATGATATAACTTTCACAGTTAATGAAAACATCTGTTTAACGGTGTAATCTGTGATACAATGGTGTAAAAGGGCTTGCCAAACAGACACCTTTCACTATGGTTAGTAAGATATAAATAGTTAACAATTATACATTTCTGTCAATCAATTAATCAACACATCGTTTCAGCAGTACTTATATATACTGTTGGGTAGTTTATATATAACAAAATTTATTTTTTCTTGAATCTTCATACATTATGGGGACGTGAAGTCATGTGACCGTGCTGTAGTTCCTTTATAACCCAACATTAGCCACCTTTAGCTTATCACCTCCCAGTTATGCGCCACAAACAGCATGTGTAAATAAAGAATATTACTTATATACCAAGTGATTTTAAAACAGATATGAACTTTACGGTACCGGCTCTGGTTCTTCGGTCTGAACTGGACCACAGGAGGCCGGACGTCACTGCAGAGTAAATACAAGAATACGATAAAAAAAAAGAAAGATACAGTCTATTATTATTATTAGGGTGTAGCGAGCGACAACCCAGCAAAACACCCAAACACATCGGGAAGACGACGGGCGAAAGCACAGAAACACACATCACAACATGGGGCACACACATGCACACAAACACAATTAATTATTGATAGGATTATTATTAGGGTCTGAGACCAGAGGTCGGCGAAGACATTATTGATATCGATAGGATTATTATTAGGGTCTGAGACCAGAGGTCGGCGAAGACATTATTGATATCGATAGGATTATTATTTATTTTTAAAAATAAATGTGCCCTCTTTGAATGCATTTCTGACCCCCACAACACATATGTAAACTCACCATATTTTGCACGCGCGTCAGGACTGGTGAAAATTGCGCAAGCCACGCCCACTTCCCTTTTTAACGTAAACTCCCCCGTCTTTCACTTTCACGTAAACGAACGAAAATAACTCCAACTAACATGCTCATCAACATCACCAAACATCAGACTATCACTGCTGCCCTGAACAGCTCTACGTCAAATCTGATGTTACGTAATGTGGTGTTACCATGGCAACGCATCCCTCGCCATAAAACACGATGTCGCTGTAACTCCAATGGACACGGTTCGATCGCCCTCCAATCTTCACTTGTATATCACCGGTCCATGCCTCAACAGCTCTACGCCAAATCTGACATCTCACCGTATGCCATTTCCATGGAAACGCATCCCTCGCCAAATAACACAATGTTATCGTAACTCCTATGCAAATGGTCAAAACAGCACCAGACTTCAGATAAGGCTTAATGGTCCGGCCCTCAACATGTCTATGTGCCACTTGTGAGTTTTATCAATACAATTTTAATTATTGGTAGTATTCATTTTATTTTTATTATTTTATTTTATTATTATTATTATTATTATTATTATTATTATTATTATTATTATTATTATTATTATTATTATTATTATTATTATTATTATTATTATTATTATTATTATTATTATTATTATTATTATTATTATTATTATTATTATTATTATTGTTGTTGTTGTTGTTATTTGTATTTAATGTTTATTTGGAATCAGGTATGAACTGGACGTACCGGCTCTGGAACTGGACCGCAGCGTAGCTCACTTCCTCCTCAGCTGGAGGCAGGAAGTCGGCATGGTCCGGACGCTGACGGGACACACCCTTGGGCTGTAGAGGATCATATGTCACTACAGATCTGAAAACATTCATCAGATAATATCAATAATAATAAAACTCACCTGTTGTTCCTCCTCAACTGCTCCTGCTGCTGCACGCCTCCTGCAGATACCACAATAACATACAAGATTTAAAATATATAATAAAATGCAACAATAGAATAAAACAATAAAATGCAACTATATACGACATTCTAAAAGTTCAACAATAAATACAAATGCTAAAATATGAAAACAACAACGATAAACAGACGTTGTGAGGCACCTCCTGATGATGAAGAACAGCAGGAGGAAGACGGCCAGCAGGACTCCACAAACCACCGGGACGATGAGAAGCAGGAGACGTCCTCCATCTGTACTAACAACTACAGAGGAACAAGTTGGCCATTATCATGTTGTGTATTTACACAATATGATCTCTTAAAGGTCTCCTATCATGCAAAATGCACCTTTTTTCATCTTCATCCACAGACCCAGAGTCAGCTCCTTAGTAACAGCTGGAAGAGAGAGGGGGGGGGGGGCTACAAGGATCTGTTTGGGGTTTGGAGCAGGACACTTCAGAGACATGTCCTTAGTAACAGCTGGAAGAGAGAGGGGGGGGGGGCTACAAGGATCTGTTTGGGGTTTGGAGCATTTATATATCTGAGACCTGTAATATCTGCCTAGCATAATAGGAGACCTTTAACTGTAGTTAACCTCTCGCACGTTACATAGCGAACTACTAAAGCAAATGAAGTGTCCTGCTCCAAACCCCAAACAGATCCTTGTAGCCCCCCCCCCCCCCCCCTCTCTCTCTTCCAGCCTAGACATCAGAAAGTGACTTTTGCATGATAGGGGACCTTTAAGTTAAGCTGACTAATGAGATAATTTGAACCCTAACCCTGATCTCTCCCTAACCCTGATCTCTCCCTAACCCTGATCTCTCCCTAACCCTGATCTCTCCCTAACCCTGATCTCTCCCTAACCCTGATCTCTCCCTAACCCTGATCTCTCCCTAACCCTGATCTCTTCCTAACCCTGATCTCTCCCTAACCCTGATCTCTCCCTAACCCTGATCTCTCCCTAACCCTGATCTCTCCCTAACCCTGATCTCTCCCTAACCCTGATCTCTCCCTAACCCTGATCTCTCCCTAACCCTGATCTCTCCCTAACCCTGATCTCTCCCTAACCCTGATCTCTCCCTAACCCTGATCTCTCCCTAACCCTGATCTCTCCCTAACCCTGATCTCTCCCTAACCCTGATCTCTTCCTAACCCTGATCTCTCCCTAACCCTGATCTCTTCCTAACCCTGATCTCTCCCTAACCCTGATCTCTTCCTAACCCTGATCTCTTCCTAACCCTGATCTCTTCCTAACCCTGATCTCTTCCTAACCCTGATCTCTTCCTAACCCTGATCTCTCCCTAACCCTGATCTCTTCCCTAACCCTGATCTCTCCCTAACCCTGATCTCTCCCTAACCCTGATCTCTCCCTAACCCTGATCTCTCCCTAAGCCTTCCTGAGTACGACACCTTTAACGTGTACTAATGTAACGTACTCAACTTCCTTCATGTACGTAATGAAGCTGAATCACGTTGTTAACTTCCTCACTTCACTGAAGTCATGTGACAGACGCCCTGGTTTTACTGCAGACCTCCTCAGATAACAAACCTCCGTCTGCAGCCTCCACATGCAGTGCGAACGGCAGAGACTCTGTTCGGGGGTCGTTCTTCAAAGCACAGGTGTAGTTCCCAGAATCCTTTGCAGTCAGAGCGCTGAGCCTGAGGGCGGGGCCAGACTGAGGGAGGGCGTGGCCGTCTCTGGACCAGGTGACCTCCAGCTGGTGGAAAGTGCAGCGTGCAGAGCAGAGCAGAGAGACGGCACCGTCTGATTCACTGGAGTTCTTGATCTGCATTGGATCCCCATCTAAAGGACATTCAAGAGGTTCCATTGACTTGCATTCTCTAGACTTCATCCTTGCAGTTTGACCCTTGATTCTCCCGGGCTACTCTGTAATTCCTAAAGAAAGTTTATCATAGGTAGGCCAAAGGTAAAAAATGTCGTTTTGTGTTTTAATACATGAAAGTTGCACTGATATTCAAATGATGGATATTCCACAGACTGCTCATTCAGCATCATTTGTGTTCCTTGCATGATGTGGATGCAACCCGACATACAGTTATATCTGCTTTATTTCAGCGGTATGAAAAGTTAAGAGATTTAATATAAAAAAACTGATCAAAAACATGCAGAAAGAACTCATGTATAATTACTCTAATTGTTAAGAGTCTGTCCGGACACGAGACAAAAAGCGCTTGTTCCCACTATCTCATGCAGCATCTCTCAAAGGACCATACAAGTATTCCATAAGGACTGCTATTCCCCATAGCTCTAACTGAAGTCCTTCCATATACCTTTGTCCCTGAGAGACTCATTGTGAGTTCAGGGTGAAACCTCAAGGCCAAAGTACGTATGAGTTATTTTATAATATAAAGTCACATGAATGCACCGTGTACGTTAGTCTAAGACCTTGTTCAAGGGAAACATAAAACCATAAAGGGCATCTAAATAATCAGATATCTGAAAAGACATTTCAGGATTACAAATGGTAATATGATGTTATTTAATAAGTGTTGGCATAGCAACACGATGCTCTTACCACTGACTGTGACCTTCACTCCTGGTTGGCCAGTAAAACCTCCTTTGTGGGGATTAGGTTCCATTCTGAAGCGAAGAGTTGCATCGTCTTCCTCCTGTAAACCTGAGATCTGTAGAGAGCAGTTTCCCTCCTTGTCTCCCAAGTATCTGTAGCGAGGGTTGTTCTTCTGTTTAGCGCTGTCGTACACAGACGGAGTTGTAAGTTGACAAATTTCATGGTTCTGGCACCAGACGACTCTCCGGATCTCTATCAAAACACCCTTCACAGACTTCAGTGTTGAGAAGGTGCAAGGGAGGGTGACCTTTGACCCTTTCACGGCACAAACCGGACCTGGATAGTTCACACGTTGACCCAAAGCACCTGGAGACACACCTGGTTGCAGAACAAGTAAAACATACTTCAGTTTCTACAATCTCTCTGATAGTGAAGGCTTTGGAGATGTGTGATTTGATCTCATGTCAACAGGACGACAGCACCGGAGAAACAGACGAGTGTTTGGACCGAGAGCCGGTTGGGTTGTCGGCTAAACAGTGTGGTAGAAATACAAATGATGACCGGAGCTCACGATGTTTGTCGTATTATCATTCAGAGCCTCACAGTCCCATACCAGAAATAGTGATGCCCATAAATTAGATGATGACATCCTAAAATCAAGATGATGGCGACTGTTGGTAAAATCCTGAGCGTCCTCTTCCAACATGAGAGCAACATGATAACAAAGGTATCCCAACTGTAGCTGTGAACATGACAGGATGTATGATTACCTAGAAGAGCATCAGGACTGTTTGAGGCATATGATAGCTATGTGATTAACATGATGATTCAGCCTCTATGGAGATAGACATATGACAAGCATGATCATTTCTGACGTGGAGCTAATCTGAAGTAAACATTGAATACTGCTTTCTATTCCTCCATCTTGTGACTGTGTAACTCCCTCTCTTGGATATCAGCATGTGAAGGACACTGTTCAGGAACTAGTTGATGCTCTGTATGTGATGACTACTTCCATTCTGGAGAGGATCACAGATACATGGATCCTGAGATTGAAGCTCAAGCCGGAGACCAGGGATTATTAACATTTTGAAGATTTTGAGAAAAAGTCAGAATTTTGTGAAAAAGTCAGAATTTTTGAGAAAGTCGATTTTTTGAGATTTTCAGTAAAAAGCCAACATTTTGATAGAAGTCAGATTTTTGATATTTTGATAAAAAGTCAGAATTTTGATAAAGTCAGAATTTTGATAAAAAGTCAGAATTTTGATAAAAAGTCAGAATTTTGATAAAAAGTCAGATTTTTGATAAAAACTCAGAATTTTGATAAAAAGTCAGAATTTTGATATTTTGAGAAAAAGTCAGAATTTTTATATTTTGACAACCGGTATTCCTCCATCTTGTGAGTCTGTAACTCCCTCTCTTGGATATCAGCATGTGAAGGAACTAGTTGATGCTCTGTATGTGATGACTACTTCCATTCTGGAGAGGATCACAGATACATGGATCCTGATGTTGAAGCTCAAGCCGGGGACCAGGGAGAGTTTCTAACAAAGACCAAAACCCAATATGGTGTCGGCTGTATAGGGTGTGAAGTTTCTGTGAGGTCTTTCAGCACTGCTGTTGTGTTTCTAGGTCAGAACAAAGAACCTGAAGGATGTGTCTGTGTCCTGTGAGGTGACATACACTGTACATGCATGCAGGACCAAATACATATACATAAAAGGAAGTGTATTAACATAATGTTGAGCAGGCAGACACACAAAGGGAAGTGAGAGCGTGAAGGAAAGATACGTTTAGATGAAGAAGTTCTCTGGTTATTAACTGCAGTAACAATCAATCCTCACAGTAACAGTCCTTTACTCAGAATGTCTCTTCGGTTAAAGCTCAAGTATTTATACAATGAGGCCTACTTACAACATCACAAGTACTCAGTTACTCAACTGCCAAATACATGTGTCTGAATTCGACCGACAGAGGAGGCAAATATTAATTCTGATAAGATTTGAATTTCTGTCGTTGAATTTTCATTTGACCCAAAAAATAAAACAGATTTTAGTTTTTTTGATTTGATTTATTTGTTTTTTTAACCAGTTAAAGGGACAAGCTGAAAGCAGGTATCACTGAATGGGAGTACAGGGCACAGGCCCAAAGTATGCACTATGGGCCTGTGCCCTGTACTCCCATTCAGTGGACTACAACAAGACCAACAAGGACTACAACAAGACCAACAAGGACTACAACAAGACCAACAAGGACTACAACACAAGACCAAGAAGGACTACAACAAGACCAACAAGGACTACAACAAGACCAACAAGGACTACAACAAGACCAACAAGGACTACAACAAGACCAAGAAGGACTACAACAAGACCAAGAAGGACTACAACAAGACCAAGAAGGACTACAACAAGACCAACAAGGACTACAACAAGACCAACAAGGACTACAACAAGACCAAGAAGGACTACAACAAGACCAAGAAGGACTACAACAAGACCAAGAAGGACTACAACAAGACCAAGAAGGACTACAACAAGACCAACAAGGACTACAACAAGACCAACAAGGACTACAACAAGACCAACAAGGACTACAACAAGACCAAGAAGGACTACAACAAGACCAAGAAGGACTACAAGACCAAGAAGGACTACAACAAGACCAACAAGGACTACAACAAGACCAACAAGGACTACAACAAGACCAACAAGGACTACAACAAGACCAACAAGGACTACAACAAGACCAACAAGGACTACAACAAGACCAAGAAGGACTACAACAAGACCAACAAGGACTACAACAAGACCAAGAAGGACTAACAAGACCAACAAGGACTACAACAAGACCAACAAGGACTACAACAAGACCAACAAGGACTACAACAAGACCAACAAGGACTACAACAAGACCAACAAGGACTACAACAAGACCAACAAGGACTACAACAAGACCAAAGGACTACAACAAGACCAACGGACTACAACAAGACCAACAAGGACTACAACAAGACCAAACAAGGACTACAACAAGACCAACAAGGACTACAACAAGACCAACAAGGACTACAACAAGACCAACAAGGACTACAACAAGACCAACAAGGACTACAACAAGACCAACAAGGACTACAACAAGACCAACAAGGACTACAACAAGACCAACAAGGACTACAACAAGACCAAGAAGGACTACAACAAGACCAACAAGGACTACAACAAGACCAACAAGGACTACAACAAGACCAACAAGGACTACAACAAGACCAACAAGGACTACAACAAGACCAACAAGGACTACAACAAGACCAACAAGGACTACAACAAGACCAACAAGGACTACAACAAGACCAACAAGGACTACAACAAGACCAACAAGGACTACAACAAGACCAACAAGGACTACAACAAGACCAACAAGGACTACAACAAGACCAAAGGACTACAACAAGACCAACAAGGACTACAACAAGACCAACAAGGACTACAACAAGACCAACAAGGACTACAACAAGACCAACAAGGACTACAACAAGACCAACAAGGACTACAACAAGACCAACAAGGACTACAACAAGACCAACAAGGACTACAACAAGACCAAGAAGGACTACAACAAGACCAACAAGGACTACAACAAGACCAACAAGGACTACAACAAGACCAACAAGGACTACAACAAGACCAAAGGACTACAACAAGACCAACAAGGACTACAACAAGACCAAGAAGGACTACAACAAGACCAACAAGGACTACAACAAGACCAACAAGGACTACAACAAGACCAAAGGACTACAACAAGACCACACAAGGACTACAACAAGACCAACAAGGACTACAACAAGACCAAGAAGGACTACAACAAGACACAAGGACTACAACAAGACCAACAAGAAACTACAACAAGACCAACAAGGACTACAACAAGACCAACAAGGACTACAACAAGACCAACAAGAACTACAACAAGACCAACAAGGACTACAACAAGACCAACAAGGACTACAACAAGACCAACAGGACTACAACAAGACCAACAAGGACTACAACAAGACCAACAAGGACTATAACAAGACCAACAAGAACTACAACAAGACCAACAAGGACTACAACAAGACCAAGAAGGACTACAACAAGACCAACAAGGACTACAACAAGACCAACAAGTACTACAACAAGACCAAGAAGGACTACAACAAGACCAACAAGGACTACAACAAGACCAAGAAGGACTACAACAAGACCAAGAAGGACTACAACAAGACCAACAAGGACTACAACAAGACCAACAAGGACTACAACAAGACCAACAAGGACTACAACAAGACCAACAAGGACTACAACAAGACCAAGAAGGACTACAACAAGACCAACAAGGACTACAACAAGACCAAGAAGGACTACAACAAGACCAACAAGGACTACAACAAGACCAACAAGGACTACAACAAGACCAACAAGGACTACAACAAGACCAAGAAGGACTACAACAAGACCAAGAAGGACTACAACAAGACCAACAAGGACTACAACAAGACCAACAAGGACTACAACAAGACCAAGAAGGACTACAACAAGACCAAAAGGACTACAACAAGACCAACAAGGACTACACAAGACCAACAAGGACTACAACAAGACCAACAAGGACTACAACAAGACCAACAAGGACTACAACAAGACCAACAAGGACTACAACAAGACCAACAAGGACTACAACAAGACCAACAAGAACTACAACAAGACCAAGAAGGACTACAACAAGACCAACAAGACTACAACAAGACCAACAAGGACTACAACAAGACCAACAAGAACTACAACAAGACCAACAAGGACTACAACAAGACCAACAAGGACTACAACAAGACCAACAAGGACTACAACAAGACCAACAAGGACTACAACAAGACCAAGAAGGACTACAACAAGACCAACAAGAACTACAACAAGACCAACAAGGACTACAACAAGACCAAGAAGGACTACAACAAGACCAACAAGGACTACAACAAGACCAAGAAGGACTACAACAAGACCAACAAGGACTACAACAAGACCAAGAGGACTACAACAAGACCAACAAGGACTACAAATACATCTGAAAAACTGCAAACAGACCCACAATGAGTTGCAACTGAAACGAGCACAAAGAGACTCCGGCCTCTGCTGCTCTGCAGGGGTTCTTCATGTCTGTGTGCAGGTCTGACCCCCCCCCCCCCTGCATGACAGAGATCAGTGGTTCTTCATGTCTGTGTGCAGGTCTGACCCCCCCCCCCCCCTGCATGACAGAGATCAGTGGTTCTTCATGTCTGTGTGCAGGTCTGACCCCCCCCCCCTGCATGACAGAGATCAGTGGTTCTTCATGTCTGTGTGCAGGTCTGACCCCCCCCCCCCCCCTGCATGACAGAGATCAGTGGTTCTTCATGTCTGTGTGCAGGTCTGATCAAAAACATGCAGAAAGAACTCATGTATAATTACTCTAATTGTTAAGAGTCTGTCCGGACACGAGACAAAAAGCGCTTGTTCCCACTATCTCATGCAGCATCTCTCAAAGGACCATACAAGTATTCCATAAGGACTGCTATTCCCCATAGCTCTAACTGAAGTCCTTCCATATACCTTTGTCCCTGAGAGACTCATTGTGAGTTCAGGGTGAAACCTCAAGGCCAAAGTACGTATGAGTTATTTTATAATATAAAGTCACATGAATGCACCGTGTACGTTAGTCTAAGACCTTGTTCAAGGGAAACATAAACCATAAAGGGCATCTAAATAATCAGATATCTGAAAAGACATTTCAGGATTACAATGGTAATATGATGTTATTTAATAAGTGTTGGCATAGCAACACGATGCTCTTACCACTGACTGTGACCTTCACTCCTGGTTGGCCAGTAAAACCTCCTTTGTGGGGATTAGGTTCCATTCTGAAGCGAAGAGTTGCATCGTCTTCCTCCTGTAAACCTGAGATCTGTAGAAGAGCAGTTTCCCTCCTTGTCTCCCAAGTATCTGTAGCGAGGGTTGTTCTTTCTGTTTAGCGCTGTCGTACACAGACGGAGTTGTAAGTTGACAAATTTCATGGTTCTGGCACCAGACGACTCTCCGGATCTCTATCAAAACACCCTTCACAGACTTCAGTGTTGAGAAGGTGCAAGGGAGGGTGACCTTTGACCCTTTCACGGCACAAACCGGACCTGGATAGTTCACACGTTCACCCAAAGCACCTGGAAGACACACCTGGTTGCAGAACAAGGTAAAACATACTTCAGTTTCTACAATCTCTCTGATAGTGAAGGCTTTGGAGATGTGTGATTTGATCTCATGTCAACAGGACGACAGCACCGGAGAAACAGACGAGGTGTTTGGACCGAGAGCCGGTTGGGTTGTCGGCTAAACAGTGTGTAGAACTACAAATGATGACCGGAGCTCACGATGTTTGTCGTATTATCATTCAGAGCCTCACAGTCCCATACCAGAAATAGTGATGCCCATAAATTAGATGATGACATCCTAAAATCAAGATGATGGCGACTGTTGGTAAAATCCTGAGCGTCCTCTTCCAACATGAGAGCAACATGATAACAAAGGTATCCCAACTGTAGCTGTGAACATGACAGGATGTCTGATTACCTAGAAGAGCATCAGGACTGTTTGAGGCATATGATAGCTATGTGATTAACATGATGATTCAGCCTCTATGGAGATAGACATATGACAAGCATGCTCATTTCTGACGTGGAGCTAATCTGAGTAAACATTGAATACTGCTTTCTATTCCTCCATCTTGTGACTGTGTAACTCCCTCTCTTGGATATCAGCATGTGAAGGACACTGTTCAGGAACTAGTTGATGCTCTGTATGTGATGACTCCTTCCATTCTGGAGAGGATCACAGATACATGGATCCTGAGATTGAAGCTCAAGCCGGAGACCAGGGATTATTAACATTTTGAAGATTTTGAGAAAAAGTCAGAATTTTGTGAAAAAGTCAGAATTTTTGAGAAAGTCGATTTTTTTGAGATTTTCAGTAAAAAGCCAACATTTTGATAGAAGTCAGATTTTTGATATTTTGATAAAAAGTCAGAATTTTGATTAAAGTCCAGAATTTTGATAAAAAGTCAGAATTTTGATAAAAAGTCAGATTTTTGATATAAAAACTCAGAATTTTGATAAAAAGTCAGAATTTTGATATTTTGAGAAAAAGTCAGAATTGTTATATTTTGACAACCGGTATCTTCCTCCATCTTGTGAGTCTGTAACTCCCTCTCTTGGATATCAGCATGTGAAGGAACTAGTTGATGCTCTGTATGTGATGACTACTTCCATTCTGGAGAGGATCACAGATACATGGATCCTGATGTTGAAGCTCAAGCCGGGGGACCAGGGAGAGTTCTAACAAAGACCAAAACCCAATATGGTGTCGGCTGTATAGGGTGTGAAGTTGTCTGTGAGGTCTTTTCAGCACTGCTGTTGTGTTTCTAGGTCAGAACAAAGAACCTGAAGGATGTGTCTGTGTCCTGTGAGGTGACATACACTGTACATGCATGCAGGACCAAATACATATACATAAAAGGAAGTGTATTAACATAATGTTGAGCAGCAGACACACAAAGGGAAGTGAGAGCGTGAAGGAAAGATACGTTTAGATGAAGAAGTTCTCTGGTTATTAACTGCAGTAACAATCAATCCTCACAGTAACAGTCCTTTACTCAGAATGTCTCTTCGGTTAAAGCTCAAGTATTTATACAATGAGGCCTACTTACAACATCACAAGTACTCAGTTACTCAACTGCCAAATACATGTGTCTGAATTCGACCGACAGAGGAGGCAAATATTAATTCTGATAAGATTTGAATTTCTGTCGTTGAATTTTCATTTGACCCAAAAATAAAACAGATTTTAGTTTTTTGATTTGATTTATTTGTTTTTTTAACCAGTTAAAGGACAAGCTGAAAGCAGGTATCACTGAATGGGAGTACAGGGCACAGGCCCAAAGTATACACTATGGGCCTGTGCCCTGTACTCCCATTCAGTGGACTACAACAAGACCAAGAAGGACTACAACAAGACCAACAAGGACTACAACAAGACCAACAAGGACTACAACAAGACAAGAAGGACTACAACAAGACCAACAAGGACTACACAAGACCAAGAAGGACTACAACAAGACCAACACAAGGACTACAACAAGACCAAGAAGGACTACAACAAGACCAAGAAGGACTACAACAAGACCAAGAAGGACTACAACAAGACCAACAAGGACTACAACAAGACCAACAAGGACTACAACAAGACCAAGAAGGACTACAACAAGACCAAGAAGGACTACAAACAAGACCAAGAAGGACTACAACAAGACCAAGAAGGACTACAACAAGACCAAGAAGGACTACAACAAGACCAACAAGGACTACAACAAGACCAAGAAGGACTACAACAAGACCAACAAGGACTACAACAAGACCAAGAAGGACTACAACAAGACCAAGAGCAGGACTACAACAAGACCAAGAAGGACTACAACAGACCACAAGGACTACAACAAGACCAACAAGGACTACAACAAGACCAACAAGGACTACAACAAGACCAACAAGGACTACAACAAGACCAAGCACGAACTTACAACAAGACACAACAAGGACTACAACAAGACTCAACGAAGGACTACAACAAGACCAGAAGGACTACCAACAAGACCAACAAGGACTACAACAAGACCAAAAGGACTACAACTAAGACCAACAAGGACTACAACAAGACCAACGAAGGACTACAACAAGACCAACGAGAGGACTACAACAAGACCAACAATGGACTACAACATATACCATAGAAGGACTACAACAAGACCACCAAGGAACTGAACAAGGACAACAAGGACTACCCCAAGCCCAACCAGGATACAATCAACCAACAAGACTACAACAAGACCAACAAGGGCATACAACAAGACCAACAAGGACTACAACAAGACCAACAAGGACTACAACAACCAACAAGGACTACAAACCGGAAACTACAACAAGACCAACAAGGACTACAACAAGAACCAACAAGGACTACAACAAGACCCAATCAAGACTACAACAAGACCAAGACAAGGACTACAACAAGGACCAACGAAGGACTACAAACAAGACCAACAAGGACTACAACAAGACCAACAAGGACTACAACAAGACCAACAAGGACTACAACAAGACCAACAAGGACTACAACAAGACCAACAAGGACTACAACAAGACCACACAAGGACTACAACAAGACCAAGAAGGACTACAACAAGACCAACAAGGACTACAACAAGACCAACAAGGACTACAACAAGACCAACAAGGACTACAACAAGACCAACAAGGACTACAACAAGACCAACAAGGACTACAACAAGACCAACAAGGACTACAACAAGACCAACAAGGACTACAACAAGACCAACAAGGACTACAACAAGACCAACAAGGACTACAACAAGACCAACAAGGACTACAACAAGACCAACAAGGACTACAACAAGACCACAAGGACTACAACAAGACCAAGAAGGACTACAACAAGACCAAGAAGGACTACAACAAGACCAACAAGGACTACAACAAGACCAACAAGGACTACAACAAGACCAAGAAGGACTACAACAAGACCAACAAGGACTACAACAAGACCAACAAGAACTACAACAAGACCAAGAAGGACTACAACAAGACCAACAAGGACTACAACAAGACCAAGAAGGACTACAACAAGACCAACAAGAACTACAACAAGACCAACAAGGACTACAACAAGACCAACAAGGACTACAACAAGACCAAGAAGGACTACAACAAGACCAACAAGGACTACAACAAGACCAACAAGAACTACAACAAGACCAACAAGGACTACAACAAGACCAACAAGGACTACAACAAGACCAACAAGAACTACAACAAGACCAACAAGGACTACAACAAGACCAACAAGGACTACAACAAGACCAACAAGGACTACAACAAGACCAACAAGGACTACAACAAGACCAACAAGGACATACAAGACCAACAAGACTACAACAAGACCAACAAGGACTACAACAAGACCAAGAAGGACTACAACAAGACCAACAAGGACTACAACAAGACCAACAAGAACTACAACAAGACCAAGAAGGACTACAACAAGACCAACAAGGACTACAACAAGACCAAGAAGGACTACAACAAGACCAAGAGGACTACAACAAGACCAACAAGGACTACAACAAGACCAACAAGGACTACAACAAGACCAACAAGGACTACAACAAGACCAACAAGGACTACAACAAGACCAAGAAGGACTACAACAAGACCAACAAGGACTACAACAAGACCAAGAAGGACTACAACAAGACCAACAAGGACTACAACAAGACCAACAAGGACTACAACAAGACCAACAAGGACTACAACAAGACCAAGAAGGACTACAACAAGACCAAGAAGGACTACAACAAGACCAACAAGGACTACAACAAGACCAACAAGGACTACAACAAGACCAAGAAGGACTACAACAAGACCAACAAGGACTACAACAAGACCAACAAGGACTACAACAAGACCAACAAGGACTACAACAAGACCAACAAGGACTACAACAAGACCAACAAGGACTACAACAAGACCAACAAGGACTACAACAAGACCAACAAGGACTACAACAAGACCAACAAGAACTACAACAAGACCAAGAAGGACTACAACAAGACCAACAAGGACTACAACAAGACCAAGAAGGACTACAACAAGACCAACAAGACTAACAAGACCAACAAGGACTACAACAAGACCAACAAGGACTACAACAAGACCAACAAGGACTACAACAAGACCAACAAGGACTACAACAAGACCAAGAAGGACTACAACAAGACCAACAAGAACTACAACAAGACCAACAAGGACTACAACAAGACCAAGAAGGACTACA